GGAAATCCAAAGTTTCTCAGTCAAAAACCCGCAAGGAGGTCACAAAATCCCCCGTTAAGGGGCTGGTTGAGTCCCCAACAAAATAAAATGTTGACAGTTTTTGTTGTAAAGAAGGGAGTCAATATTTTCCCTTAGGAAAATTGATGGGTCTGCATGTTGGGCCCCTGAGGTCTGTACATTCACAGCTAGTAAAGGGACTAGTGTTTTTAAGAGCTTGAAGAACTCATTTCAAGATGGTAGGGGGGGAACATCAATGTCTGGGGTGAAAATTTAGAGAAACACACAGCAACACCTCCCCCTTGCCCTTGCCTGTCTTTTCCATGAGGGGTACCGCAATTTTTTTGCAAAATTTTTTTGGAGTCCTGTCATCCAAAAATTTTCAACAACAGCTTAAGTCGGGAGTGAGTGTTCACAAAACTATGTTGAACTCTCCAACATTAGTGTGAAACCTCTAATGTTGGGACAGGATGTATAGGGCTGGCTCCTCAGATTAAGTGGTCAGCGAGGTGGTGGGTGGTAGGGAATGTAAGGTGCCTGCCCTTTAGAGAGAGGGGGATGAGGCAGCTGCAGGGATGTAGGCTGTGGTCTTGATAAAGGAAATCCACCCGCTGGCTGGGGAAGGAGTAGCTAAGTGGGGGCGTTGAGTGGTTCACCATTCAGAGATCCTGTGGTTTGTTTGAGAACAGGGCTCTAAAAAAGTGGCCCTGTTGTTAGTTTCCCTTTTTTTTGACACTGGTCCTCCTTATGTCCTTTCTTGTGCATAATTACACCTGGTATCTCGAGGCATTTTTGGGGTGTGCCCCCTTCCCCGGTCAGGGGAGCACAGCCCACGTGCCCGGGAGGGTGGCTGGGTTTGTTGCACCTCCCGGTTTTTTCAGATTTGTCCCCCCCAAATTTCCGCTGGAAAATGTGTTGTGGAGGGTGGACGGGGTGTGTTTCTCCCCCACTCCCCCCACGCCTTGCCCCCCTCCCTACCCTTTTTGAAGATGTGTCCCTGTGTTCGTACTTTGGGCAGTAGGTGATCAGGGGCAGTGAGGTTCCCTGATTATTAAGTGCACCGATTCTGGGTTTGGGGAAACTCCTGGCTAGAACTTCTGACGGCACTCTACAATTCTGGGGTAGTGTCGGGGGGTGTATGAAGGTGTAGGAAGAGTGGTATTTGCCCCTGTCAAGTAGACTGGCGTGGGTGAAGCAGGATGCAGGTGTAGGAGAATTAAAAAATCCAAGGTTCCCTCGTTTCTGGGAAGAGGGTTTGTTCCCCCTGTGGTGGGCAGAGGAATTGTGTTAAATTCCCAAGGTAGGTTTTGAACTTGTCAGTCTGTGGGACCTTGCGATGACAGAAGTCCCCATTTGTTTCCCCTGAGTTAGTCAGTGGGACTTCAGCTTTGTCAATAGTGTCACCACAGTGAGCACTTACGTCATTGTGCAGGCTTGCACGACTTTACAATAGCTTGTAGGTTATCTAATGATTTGGGGAGTTTTAAAAAGTGTTTCCCCTGTTCTTCTCTCTTTTTTTCTCCCCTCTTCTTTTCCCCTCTCTCTCTCTCTCTCTCTCTCTTCTCTTCTTCCCCACGAGGAGGGGTTTAAAGGAAAATCGACCGACGACACCGGGAACGGGAGTGATAGGAGGCATGATTTCTTTTTTACGGGGTGCCACAAAAACACCCCCTGATTTCAAATAGGTTAAAATGTAACTTTATTGTAAATAATCTTTATGTTAAATTTAGATGCAGGATTTCATTCATTTTCATGTGTATAGGGTGCTTAAAGGACTCAATGTGGCCCTCGGGTGGCTCGGCAAAACGATGCGATAGTCCGTTTAGTAGACCTCTGCGCAATCTGGGTTATTATGCGAACTGTTGTGATCGAAATTTTTAGCCTCCCGGTTGCATAGTGGGGTACGTAAACTGTCTTTCACGTTTCCAAAAAAAAAGTCAAAACAGTTAGACCTGGTGACCTCTGCAAGTGGCCTGCGAGGTCACCGGAGCAGGGATAGCAGTAAGGGAGGGGGAAAAGGTGGAGAAGGGGACAGGTCCCATGCACAGGCACGACCATGTAACCACGGGTTACAGGAAAAAACAATGGCCAGGTACCAACAGGACCCAGAGGAACAGAGGGAAAGGCAATGGGAGGAGGAGAGGGAGAAGTCAATGTTTATTCATGGACTTCAGGGGAGCAAGGGGAGAAGGGGACAGGTCCCATGCACAGGCACGACCATGCAACCACGGGTTACAGAAAAAAAACAATGGTCAGGCACCAACAGGACCCAGAGGCACAGAGGGAAAGGCAATGGGAGGAGGGGAGGGAGAAGTCAGTGTTTATTTATGGGCTTCAGGAGAGCGAGGGGAGGACACAATGAAAGATGGCAGAAAAAAAAACAGGATATTGAAAACATTATCAAAGAGACAGGAGAGGAGGACATAACTGAGATAGGAAATTTTCGAGAGAATAGGGGGACATTTGAAGTGATAAAATCGGCTGGTCAAACTGATTTTCATGACAGAAACGGTGCAGAACAGGATCCTGCAAGAGAAATTTCAGCTGAAGGAATCATTAACATATGAGAGGGGGTTCCCAGACTGCATCAGAACAAGAGCAGAGCAACAGCAACTGAGGGAGAGGTCACAGAAACAAAAAGGGCTAGGAAGAGAGACAAGGACAGAATCAACAGAGGACAACCAAAGCAGGGCAGAGCAACATGTGTAAGCACACACAGAACCACGCCCAGAACCACACAACCAAATATGCTACCCCAACATAACCCACAATCCACACTTACACTCCCACCCCACACTGCTGTAGAATCCCACAGCACACTGTCACGTCCCCCACTCCCACGGACCTTCCCCCAGAAGACAGTGTTGGAGAGGAAACTGAAGGTATAGTAATAGAATTACGAGTAAGTGGGAGAAGTGGCACGAAAGAGTCAAAGAGGCATAACCGAACATCATAGCTCTCACAGAAACCAAGCTCACAGGAATGATAACAGATGCCATCTTTCCATCAGGATATCAGATCCTGAGGAAAGACAGAGGTATTCAATATCGAATGGTATACAATACCGACAGGTTGGTAGATAAGACACATAGGCAACATTTAGGCAACTTTATTCCGAAAAGTTTCGCCTGCACAGTATTGTATACCATTCGATAACCACTCTGTCAGACACTGCAACACAATGGCATCTTGGTACAGAAGAGAAAACACCCTGGACAACTTTTTCAAGTGAGAATTGTTTGATCTGAGAGGGACATGACCTCCCAGTGGCTACATTCTCACTACTACTACTCTGCACCTCTCCTTCCGACAGTACTTAAGTCTCAACACTGTCGCTTGATCTTCAGTTAGTTCCTGACTCTGGAACAGAACTTCTTCAGGCTGAGGGACTGACAACCTCAAATTCTACGACTTCAAGGGTGATTGGACTGATTACATCTTCCACAAACTCTACTGCTCCTGCCTACTTTCTGTACTCGACTGAAGAAGCCTACTGTGTAGGCGAAAAGTTTGGGAATAAAGTTGCCTAAATGTTGCCTATGTGTCTTATCTACCAATCATATTATGTAAGGGTATGAAGAAGATTGTTAGGAGAAGCGTTGTTAAAAATAAAACTGTAAAACAGTAGAATCATAAAAACAACCGCATGTTTTGAGGATATCAAATCTTTCAAAACCAACCCACTTTAAGTTGTATGAAAAGGTAACCATGTAAGGCGGAAGAGAGGAGAGAGAAGAGGAGAGGAATAGAGAGAGAGGAGAGAGAGAGAGAGAGAGAGAGAAAAGGGGAGAGAGAGAGAGAGAGAGAGAGAGAGAAGAGAGAGAGAGAAAGAGAGAGAGAGAGAGAGAGAAGAGAGAGAGAGAAGAGAAGAGAGAGAGAGAGAGAGAGAGAGAGAGAGAGAGAGAGAGAGAGAGAGAGAGAGAGAGAGAGAGAGAGAGAGAGAGAGAGAGAGAGAGAGAGAGAAAAGAGAGAGAGAGAGAGAGAGAGAGAGAGAGAGAGAGAGAGAGAGAGAGAGAGAGAGGGGGAAAGGGATGGGTGAATTACAAAATTTTTGACCATATGAAAGCTTTTGATAAAATATCGAAATTATGATGTGAGTAGTATTAGCAAACCATTACACGTTACAAGAGAAGTGAAGAGGAAATACATCTGAAAGGGTTGAGATATTTAATAAAAAGACAATAAGGATGTTATTGATGGGAAACTGGAGGTGGTAGCTGAATGAGACGCCATATTGCCTACCACATGTATCATCCCGTAATTAATGTACACCTTCCAGTTTGTATAACTCCACACAATAGGTAAGGTAGCTAGTTACTGCTGCTATTCAGGTTGCATTTCTGTTGGGAGGTGTTAGGGTAAGTAATATGTTCTTCACTTACTGAAATATTGTGCTTAATAACTGAAAAAATAGATCAAATAATATACTTAAAGCCTACAAATCCAATCAAATTCTTTATAATTATACAGTCCACTTAATAGCTAGCTTTACTGGCGTAAATTTTCATAATAAATATTCAGGAACCATGTTTCTAATCCAGGGCTCGGGGCTCGTTAGGGAGCTGTTACAGTGGACACTGAAAGAGGGACTTAAGATCCCGGTGTCCTTAAAGTCCCTCAAGTCTCCAAGATACATCAACATCAGTAAGTTAAAATTTGTTTTGTGTCAAGAGTTCTCCCCAGTGTGTGGGTGAAGATTGAGTTCTTGTGAAAAATCCCCCACATAATTTCTAACAGAAGGATCAGGAAGTAGAATGACCTGGCCAGATGAGCGGTAGACGCAGGTTCCAAGCATACCTATAAGAAGTGATAAGGGGCCGCCCTTCATCACTTTACTGACCAATATTGACCATTCCTTTTCTAAATGGTGTATCTAAACAACCTCTTTTCCATGGCATGAAATGGAACCAGAATTAGGTATATAATGCAGGATAATTTGAAAATGGTTTACGATAATCTAAATAAAATAGTGAAGTGATAACTGCGGGAGAAGCCTCAGTCGGAGTCTAGCAGCCAAAACAGTCAGTTCAGTGTTGGTTCTAGTGAGTCGAACAGCAACAATTAGTTCTATATTAATCTTCACAGCATTTTTCTCTGCTGCTGTCTTACTGTGAACACTAAAATATGGTATTTTTTTTTTTTAAGTTTAAAGTCTATCAGCTACCGTTAGTCAAGAATTCTTTATTCATTAAAATAGGCATTAAAGTCTGAATCCAGTCTAATTCTGACTGGATTCAGACTTCAAAATATAAACTTTAAAATTTAAAACTTTAAAATTTTAAAAGCTCGAAGTGAAAGCCAAGTTTTATTTTAGTAATGCCTCTCATCGCTGAAAGTTTGAAGCCTATCAGAAAAGCAGTCCCTAGAAATTGCTCTAAACCCACTTATTCCAAGTTTATAAAATAATTTTATTACGATTTCAAATTTGTACCTAAGGCGTTTTAACTTAGTGTGTCTTCCTGCTTATAAAATACTACACCGATGTTATTCTGAAGCAGATACAATGAGGCATAATTTATTGGCTAGAAATCAATATCCAAATTAATTAATTAAAACTGACAAATGAGGACTCATGGAGCCCAATAAAAACGCGAACCTTACCTCAAAAAAAACACACTGAAGTTAAAAATTTGACACCGATCAGAAGAAGCCTTCTCCAGTTACTGCACGGATTCCAAAGAATCTCAGTTTGTTTTTAATTACTGCACTGACAAATGTGTCTATACACAGAATAAACTTTATGAGAACTATTCTGGCAATAAGATATATCAGCCATTAACTAGTAAAGCCATTCAAAAGGAGACTCAAATATAATTAAGGTGAATACTGGGGAATAATAAATGTCTCACAATTTTACTCTTAAAATTGGCAGATTTCAACCAGCTCCCTTTAATTTACTCTCCGCTGTTGAGGAATTAAGAGGCATCTTTTCTGAACGTTGGAAGCAATGGTGAACAGGGTTTTGTCATTTGTGAGAGCCATTCCTGTATGCTAGAAATGGCTTCAACAACTAGGGTCATAGAGCACCTGCACATGACAATTGTTTCCAGAATAGTGGCCTAGTTACTGTACAGCGTTGAAAATTTAAAAACCGATTCGACGTGGCTTTCTCGTGTTATGTGGAAAATAAAAACGAAAAGTTGAAGGGAAAAGAAAAATAGTTTCTGGCAGCCATGTAAGGTGCAATACTCGGTGGCTACCTTTTGTTTTTTTTTTTAGAGTGGAAAATTTACGGTCACGTTTTATAATACAATGTGATTATTTTCACTGGTTCCACGAGTTAATTAGAGGAAAACTACAGCCAAATAACCATAAAACTACCATATGCTGGCCATTATATGACTAAGAACCGCGTCAAGAGATGTACTCCCTATCTCCTGTCAAATAAAACGTCATCTTCACAATGTGTCCATTAAGCTTTTAATGAAAAAATAATTATAATTATTATTCACCTCTAAGAAGTGTAGAAAAATGTTGAATATTGAGACACTTATGTAACATATGGGAATCTTTATTCAGGAAACGTTTCGCCACACAGTGGTTTCATCAGTCCAATACAAAGCAGAAAGGTGTAAGGAGAGGAGGAGTTTGAGGTAATCAGTCCCTCAGCTTGGAGTCGATGTGTTCAGTCCATCAATCTTGTAGAATGTACAGCATAGGGCCGCAGACGTGGCTTATATACTGTAGTGAGGTGAGGCGAAACAGGAGGAGGCGGGGTCATAGTGGTACCATCCACTAGTTGAAGTAGGTCTTCGTCCAAAGGTTGGACAGGTGTTGAAGAATTCTTTGTAACAAGATCCCATGATGCTGCAGTGTCTGACAGTTGTGATGAATGGTTTGAAAAACCGACAAGTTGAATAAAGATTCCCATATGTTGCATAAGTGTCTCAATATTCAGCTTGTCGGTTTTTCAAACCATTCATCACATAGAAAAATGTATTGCAGGTGTACAGGAGGCTTCCAGGGATGCGACTTCTATTGGTAGTGTTGGTGGTGATGCTGGGCGGCTGTACTGTGGGGGATCTACCGCCCCGAGAGAAGTCATATAAAGTTTTAGTTCTCCTAATAACATCCCCGATTAGCCACAGGAACGTTTTCATCCCTATAGCAGAGGCCTTGGCTGACCGAGGTCACCAGGTGAGTCAGTTTGTTTCCATTTACGAAGGAGGATTTAGTTGTAATAATATGTAAAGTAAAAGGACATAAGTGCAACTAATGTGACATTTTATTGTGGCAACGTTTCGTTCTCCAGGAGCTTTGTCAATACAGTACATGGACACAGAGGGTATATATAGGCTCAGAGTGAGGTACAATACTAGTGGTGGTAGTAGTAGTAGTGATATAAGTAGTAGTAGTAGTAATACAATATGTTAGAGCAATTAACTTGCACATAAGTAAAAGGGTATAAAAGCTATTACTTGGGAAACATAAGAATAGGTTAGACAAATATTTCTATTGGAGGCTGGATAGAAAAGGCCTGTTTCAATGTTCATTCTCTGTAATGTGCTTATGTAGTATTAACAGGAGAGATTATGTGATTGCAGGATTTACTGTTTTCAGGAGGATTCTTGTTTACTGTTTTCAGGAGGATTCGTGCGTGGAGAATTAATGATCTGAAGAGCTCTATCCTTGCAGTCTTTGATGAAAAAGGAAGGAAAATGTAAATCAGTGAAGGTTTGGTGAATGTATGTACATTCCTCGTCAAGAAACTCAGGAACTACAAATTCGGTATGCTCTTAGGAACAGTCTATTCCAGTCTATTCCAGTCAAGATACTAAGACCAAAAGAGGCATCATCATCGGGTTTTTCCTAAGAGCATACCGAATTTGTAGTCCTGAGTTTCTTGACGGGGAATGTACATACATTCACCAAACCTTCACTGATTTACATTTTCCTTCCTTTTTCATCAAAGACTGCAAGGAAAGAGCTCTTCAGATCATTAATTCTCCACGCACCAACATCACTCCCAACAAAGTTATAAATCTTCCCAACAGCCAGGTTGCACTGAACGTTTCTAAAGTACTTTCACAAGCTAACACCAGAGTCGCCATTGTTTCCAGCACTTCGATAAAGGATCTAACCAGAACAAAATCCAAGAACCACGAACCAGTCAATGCAGGGGTTTACACTATACCCTGTGGAGGCTGCAACAAGATTTATGTAAGTGACACAGCAAGAAACCTCGACACCCGCCTCAATGAACACATTTACGCATGTAGGAACGATAACTTGAACAACGCCTGTGTACAACACCGAAATTCCACCAATCATCTCATGAAGTTCAGGGACGCCCAACTAGTGATCAAAGAAACTAATTTCCGCAGACGCAAGTGCCTTGAATCTTCACTAATAGCTGTTTCTAATACAATTAAACAAAACAAAGGCAGCTTCACCATCTCTGAAGTCTTAGCAAGAATCCTCCTGAAAACAGTAAACCCTGCCATCACATAGTCTCTCCTGTTAATACTACACAAGCACATTACAGAGAATGAACATTGAAACAGGCTGCCTCTGTCTAGCCTCCAATAGAAATATTTGTCTAACCTATTTTTATGTTTCCCAAGTAATAGCTTTTATATCCTTTTACTCATGTGCAATTAATTGTTCTAACATATT